GCAACCCTCGGTGTTGCTCCCGCGCCTCGCTCAGCCAGTGAGCGGGAACCAGTCTGTATGTGGGATCCGAACCCTCGGGCGGGAGCACCGCCGCCCTTCCCAAGCGGCGCACTATCCAGTGCGCCACCAGGCCGGCCCCCATCATCTCTATCTTAAAGACACTGCAGACAGCAAATATCCAAGGATTGGTGGAAAATTAGTTTTATATCAACAGAAGTAATCATTTACTCAATAATAACTTTAGAAACTCTTAGAATTATTCAGAGAAAGGGAATGGGCCTAACGAGAAAATTCTGGCACAGATCTATAGGGAGTTTAGGATCACTATTAGACCTTTAAATTAATGGTATAGTGTATTTCTGAAAGGAATTTATGTATATAATAAAGAGAAGCTACACAGACTAGAGAGCTTAGAGCTTCCAAATATACAAAGCCACATTATGGTTTAGAACATAGAAATCAGGATTTCTAATCATAATTTGATTTTGGAATGCAGAAAAGGACTTTTGAGGGCCCTGAAGCCCAATCCTGGTTCTTCACTTTGCATAGAAGAATCCCAAACCTAGTCAAATATACATTCTATTTATCTTAGGTATCCTTGGTACGGGGAACAGTGCCTCATGCATAGCAATACCCACATACCAGGAATTCTGAATTGGTTTGGGTTATATATAGTGGCTCTGTCCCTATGACTTTACTCTTATAGAAAGTGATTTTCCACTTTGGGTACTATCAATTATAGTAAGTACTTCAAAAAAGATGGCTTGCTGGCAATGGATAATATACCCTAAGAGCACATGGAAAACACACATTTACATCTAACTATTTTTCCATCATACAGAGACAAAGGAAATTTATATTGCTGGAATATACCTCTAAAAGCCAGTCTAGAAGTATTGACCTCATCTGTGGTTCCAAGTCAGAATGCAGAACTTCAAAATGCTTGTCATGAACATATTTGCTTTCTTTTTTTAACATGTTTAGCCAAACCTCCTTTGAACATCCCCAGCTATGGAAAAGGGAAAAAAGATATAATTTAAATTGTATGATCTACGTAATATACCAGCTATCTGTTTCACACAAAATAAACTTAACTTTCAGACTTTGAAATCCAACTTTCAAGAAGAACTTGGAAGCTCAAAGTAAATTAGGAAAAAATGTCTTCCTTAATATTTAGAAACCATTTCTTTTGCAGGAGAAAGTAGAAGCCTGAAATAATACGGCAAAAAACTGAACTATGATAACTTAAATTGGTAGATTTCAAGAGTGCTTTATAGTCCCACTCATTTTTAACTTATAAAGTTAAAGATAACCATGATTTCTCAAAAGCAATACTAAAAGAGTTAAATATTTAAGGCATATGATTTCAGTAGAAGTCTCAATCATCTGCAAATAGATCAATAGTAGAGTCACCAATAGTGGGGGTAAGGTGGGGTATAGGGGAGAGGGGATTAGGGAGTTTAAGTGTCTTATTCCATTAATCTGTTTATTAAAGCCAAACATAAATTATTATACTCTGTGTTTCATATAAGTTGTACCTCTTTGTACTCATGGACTAGAAAAAAGAATGAAATATAGACCTAACTAAGCTTGGTAAGAAACGAATAGGATTGGTATATCAGTTGAAAAAGCTATAAGCGTTAAAATGCTTCTATCTTAACAACTTAGATAAATTATTTAAACTCCATTGAAAATAATTCAGTTCTGTTAAGTCTTATAGTACTCAGCAAGCAAATGAAAATTTTATAGAATCAGTGTTTTAAATACCTACGCCAATTACAACTAGGCACTACTCATATAAAATGATATATGCTTAAACGTTAGTCAAGAAGGCAATTTTTATAAGTTTTTCTATTTTATGATGAATACAAAAGATAAAATCATGCAAGGTATTAAATCAGTACAATTTTCATCTGTGATATAAAATTACCGAAATTTTTCTTACCTTAGATCAGGCAAAGGTGATGGATTAATAAAAATATTTTTAAATCTGTAATTTGTAAATCTGGAGAAGTCACTTCTTCCTATTTCTTTGTGGGGTGTTTCAATGATAATGCAAGGACTGATCCCCCCAGATAATACCGGTGGCCAACAATTCTGTCATTGAAAAAAAAGAATCTATTTGTGCAATAGGAAACCTTAGCTTCTGTCCTGGATCTTTCATAAATGAAAGATAATATTTTAAACAATTTGTAGTTTTAGCTAACATAGCTGACAATCTTCATAAAAAGTAACAGGATGTTTTAGACAACAAAATACAATTCTGGTAATACAAGACATTAGGTATTGATGGAGTGATAACAAAATGCATCTGTATTCTAAAATACTAACCAATTTCAAAATCATAAAATTGCAGTTCTCTGTATCTAGCAATAGCAGGGCACGATTTTTTATAGAAAGCTTTTTTTTTTCTTCTTCTAGCTAAGCCTGCTCTGATACTTCAGAATACTTGAAGGCAAAATCTGAAAAATGGAATCAATTACTTAGAGGACCCTTTCCCCAACAATGCTGATTTCAAAGGGAATCACTGTCTTTAAAGTGCTTTCTGTACAATACATAGGAAGAAAAGGTAGCAAAAGGCTGGGTGCCAGGCTGTCAGTGATCTCACATCCTATTTATGCCAAAGAAGCAGCTATTAGAACCCTCCACTATAGACTGAGAGGGAACAAAGAGCAGTATATTGGACAGATTAGGCGGGCCTTGGTGCACCAGGCAGCTCCAAGAGGGAGGGATTTACAAAAAGGAACCAGCTGCTTCAAGGCAAACTTACTCTGCAGCTGTGGTAGGATTTAGGCACATATAAACCACCCAAAGATAAGCACCTTCCTGCTGACCTCTAGGGGCATTAGAAGTAAAAGTGTCAGAGGAATCTTTCTATTGCAAAGCAGTAACGCACAATTCTCTTCTTATTCTCCTATACTGCATTTGTTTACCCCAAACCCACCGAGCTCAGTTCTGCATTACCCTAATCTCATACTGCTGTTTCTTGGTGACCTCCTCTTTTCTCTTTTTGACATCCTGAAAAATAGAAAAGACCATTAGTAAACGAAGGTCCCAGCAAGGAATTTCCTCCCTCCCTCTTTCTTTCTCTTTAAATCACCTGGGCTGTTTTCCTCTTTTTGGCCTGTATTATCTGGGCTTCTTGGGGGGACTCCGTCTGGCTGGGCTGGGGCTGGGGCTGCTGCTTAGCTTGTAAACGGCTACTACGGTGAATTTTCAAAAACAAGTTTAATTAGTAAGTCAAAGGCAGCAGCTAATTTTGAAACATGTCTCCAAGACAAATAGTGAATGTTACCTGCGTCTTGACATTCTCTTCTTTAAGGTGTATGAAACCTCTGAAAGGTGGAGAGGAAAAACCAGAGTCAAGCACATTGTCATCCACATTCTTCAAGTGCAAGTGCCAATTAGACGCTGATTCGGAGGTTAAAGCTAAGTCTCAGAAGGTGGCCTGAGCCATTTTACCATGCTATCTCCTTCACTGTAGTTATCTCATGGTAATTAATGTTGGACACATCCGTGCATTTCCTGATCGGTACGTACAGCCAGGACGCGCGTGTCTTCAGAGTTGACGAAGCACCCCCAGCACCCTGAACGCGCAGTGAGGCAGGGCTCCCCAAACGAGTTTTTCTGGGTCCTCTTCCCTCTCCCCTGTGCACCCAGAGTGGGGCTTGGGCAGTGCCCCCACGACCCCCCTCCCATCCTGGACGAGCCATAGAGAGGGGGTTGTGGAGGCGAAACGCTGTGGAGAAGCCGGTTCCGCGCCAATTTGGAGAGCGGCGGTGGCGGGGAAGCAGGGGGCGGAGGGAACTGAGACTGGTGTCACGTCCTCCGGTCTCTTTTCCCTCCTTCCCAGCCCCACCGGGCCCTGCCCGCCGTTCGGAGGGGCACCGAGATCCCGACTCCAGATGCGGGGGTGGGGGAAAGGAAAAGGAGTTAAAGAAAGGGGGAAACTGAGCTGCTCGGGAAATTTTCTCCCCGTGAAGGGGACCCAGACCTCCATCTGGGTCCTTTCCATCCCCTCTTTTCCGCGGGATAGCTCCCCAAACGGGGGTGGGATAGAGAAGCCCCTAGGATGAAGGGCTTTTCCGTGGTCTCCCACTTAGCGGCAGCCCTATATCCCACATCGCTTCCTCGTCCCCTGCCAAGGGTCCTGACAGGGACGGAACGCGGGGACCCATTTCCCCCCAGTCGCCTAGGTCTCAGCCCTCCCACTTTTCTTCCCTTAGGCTCCCGCCGGCGGGATGGATCTGCCCAGCGAGGCTTTCTTTCCTCCCGCATCCCCCCTACGCCCAGCTCCTCCTCACCGCCAGACCGGCTGCCGCTCGGCTCTCAGCTGGCGCCGGCGCCAACCCAATATATAGGCCGGGCCAGGCCCGCCCTGCACGCATGCGCCTCAGACTGACACCTCGGGACAGCGCGCCCCCACCCCCGCCAGCCCGCCCGCGCGCCCGCGCGTTGCGCCCTGTTCTCATCCAGTGCCGGCCCTCTTCGAGCGGCTGTCGGGTCCGATCGATCGCCCAGGCCTTCGTTCCGCGTCCACCCGTGCTGCACTTCACCTGCCAGCGCGGCCCGGAGGCAGCCGGGTGTCTCTCAGAGGCTCCTCCTCCGCGGCTTGGCTCCCAGCCGTTCGCCTCCCGCATCTCCCGCCAGTTCGCTCCTGCCCCCTCCCACTGCAACTCTCGGATCTCAGGGGTGTCAGGCTGCGGCTCAGCCCCAGTGTACAGCCAGGGGGAGGCGACTCGGGCCAGCATAGAGTGGCCAGGAAATGGCCAGCCTGTGGCGCGCCGTGTCGTCCCGCCAAGGCCTCAGGGAACCCGGGCCTTTCCGGAGAGGCGCGGGGACGAGGAGGCCCGCCCCTCCGGGAGGAGCGAAGCTTTGCCTGAAGAGCTGGCCAATGGGGAGGCGAGGACGGCAGCACAACGTGGAGCGGCTGCAGAATGTAAACACAGCCCAGGCGCGCCGCGGGACACGTGCGGCCCTGAAAGCTGCCGGGCCGGCTCCTGGGACCACCCTGGGCCATCTGTGCCACCGGAGAGCAGCCACGCTCAGGGAAGGCATCTCCATCCCGCCGATCAAGGTATGTATCAACTCTGTTTGCCCGCTCCCTGCTCGCCCCGGGTTACCCTTCCCGTTGGTGGGTTAATCCTCCAGCCCGCGCATTGCCTCTACCCTGCAGCTTCCAGCCCGCAGTCCCGCGCAGGAAAGGCTAGCGCCACGCCGCGTTCTCTCCTCTCCTCCTAACGTCCAGGTCCAGAGCACCCGAGAGTAAAACCCCTCTCCTAGCGGGGCCGGGGTGGCATTCCACTATCCTCGCGAGCGCGGTGGCCCTCCAGGGCACCGGCCCGGTAGGGAGAACGGTCGCCACCACGTGCAGGTCCCGGGCCCGTCCGCCGCGCCCCTCCCCGCCGCCGCCGCCAGCGCGCCCTGCGGAGCCCGCGCAGCCGCCTGCGCGGGAGGGAACCGCCCGTCTCCGAGCGCTAACGGGAGGAGGCGGGCTCGGCGCTGTTCCTTTCCTTTCCCCGGTATTTAAGCCTAGGGCTCCCCTCGCCGCCTCTGTTAACGTCCCGCCCCAGCGCGCCCGGAGACTGCATGTCTCCAAGCCAGATATGCGGCTGATGCGCCCCCAACAGGGTTTGCGGCGGGAGACAGCTCCGGGAACAAAAACCCCCGGGCTGGAGAGCGGTACGAAGGCTTCCAGGAGCCCACAGCAGCTCGGCGGATCGCGGGGCGACCGGTGTTTGTTTCTCTGCCCTGGTACCCGGTGAGCGGGTGGGCGAGGGCCGGGGAGACGGAGCCCCCAAGGCAGTCCGAGGTCGCGGCCAAGGCGGGAAGCCCTTCCCGAGATGCACCTGGAGGCGGCGACGGCGGCCCGGGCCCGCCCCAGGCTCCCGGCTCCCGCCTTCTGAGCCGCGGGCCTGAGAGCCTAGAAAGAACCAGTGCTCGGTGGGCGCTTTCGGGTCCGCGAAGTCCATTTTCACACTTTGTCTTTTGATTCTTCTAACAGTCTCGTGACGCCGGCAAAGTAATTGTTCCTCCCTCAAATTTAAGCATAAGAGCCTTGCCCAAGGTGAGTCAGAAGCCTGTACCCTGTCGGTCCCGAGAAACTTCGTGCCGTTTATAATGCTGTGGTGGTTCTGTGTAGAGCAGGAGTTGATTCCCTTCTGCAGTCACTCAAAACGTTGTTACCATGTAGAGCCAAGAGATCCAACAGCGTAGCAGGATGGCAAGAAAAGGGAGGGGGAATCTTCCAACAAGCGTGCATTAGTTGAACATAAGCAAAAACTGGTGGCCTACATAATAATCAAAATATACTGAAAACCAGGGCATATCAGTTAACATTTGTACAATTAATCTTTGAGTATCGTATGCCCAGCACTAGGCTAACTAGTAAATTAATTAGAAGTAGGGCAATGTTACTAGAAATGTACTTTGGTCATACCCTGGACTGTTAATTGAACAGAGTGCAATCATACAGTAAAGGAGAAATTAGAAAGGATCCCCAAACGGCTTTGTGTGGAAAGGAACAGGGTGAATTCTTCCATATTACGAGTACCTACCTGGTCAGTGGATTAGCGGGTCTGTAAAAAACATGGGCTTTCCTGTGAGATGGACTGTTCTAATCCTGTGCTGCTGCAAGTTAGTGAATCCCTCTGAGCATGGGTTTTCTCTAGAAAAGATATAACCAGACACTTGTCTCAAGGGTTGTTTAAAAGATTAAATTTGATAATGTATATAGAGATCCTCTCTCCCATATGTACCTGTCACAGGGCTAAGTACTAGCTCTTTGTCTTACCCATGCACTCCCCTTACTAGTAGAAATTGAGAAATAGTTTTAAGGATCCTGAATCAAACATAAGGCTGAATTATAAAATTTCTTTTTCCCAGAATTCTGTTCACTTAGCCCTCCTTTATAGGGTACCTACTTTAGGCTTCATCTTTCAATATGTCATGTTTGTTTTATATTTTTATATGTTCGTTTTTAGCCTCCTCTTTTCCCACTCATCCCAATTTTAAAATTCATTTACTTTGAAATATATGAAATTCCTTTATACTTGTAATAATTGTAGAAATTTTGGTATTAAGTCTGTTTTACCTGTTGTACATTCATAGTTAAAATGCCATTGTAAATAAACTGTTGGCCTTACAGTGCTTCTTTTGGATAATTATTTTGATTATTCCACATTCATTTTTGGGGGGAAAAACAGGAACATTCTTGGAGGCACAGGTTTAAAAAAAAAAAATCAGCCCAGCCCACCCATTTCTTGCTTCTGTGTCTTTTTTTCTTTTTTTTCTTTTTTTGGCTATGTCTCCTCTGTGTAGGCGTCCCAGATCCTTTTCTCTGTGCTCTACAGTTATGCTCACCTCACAGGACAATAATTACCTATTTAAATGTCTTTTATCTATCACTGGGTCTTGGACCTTCCTTGTTCATCTTTTATAGCTGATACCCTATATCCTATGAGTTATGCATAGGATAATGCAATTACAAAACTGTAAGTCTCTAGTTTAGAGTGATGGAGGCTAGATGAATGGTAGAATTATTCCCAATAAATTCCAGGGTTATTTTCTTATAAATAGACTATTTTTTAGAACAGTTTTAGATTTACAGAAAAAATGAGCACTTAGAATAGAACTTGTGTGCACTCATCCCCACACAGTTTCCCCTATTATTGACATTGTGTATTATGGCACAGTTATTAGCATATGATATGTTCATTAGTGAATCAATGTCAATGCATTATTATTAACTAAAGTCCGTACATTATTCAGATTTCCTTAGTTTTTACCTAATGTCTTTTGACCACTCCATGATCTCATCCAGGATACTATATACTACATCACTTTGAGATGTCATGTCTCCTTAGATTTCTCCTGGCTGCAGCAGTTTCTCAGACTTTCCTTGTTTTTGATGACCTTGACAGTTTTGAGAAGAGCTGGTCAAGCATTTTGTAGGCTGCTCCTCCACTGGAATGAGTCTGATGTCTTTTCATGGTTAGACTGGGGTTATGGTTTTGGGAGAGGAAGATGGTAGAGGTAAAATGCTATTTTCATCTCTCATATCAGGGGTACATACTGTCATCATAGTTTATCACAGTTGATGTTGACCTTGACCACCTGGCTGAGGTAGTGTTTGTCAGGTTTCTCCATTGTAAAGTTACTCATTTTCCTCCCTTTCCATATTGTGCTCTTTGGCAAGAAGTCATTATGTACAGCCCACACCTAAGGAGTGGGGAGTTAGCTGCTCCTCCTACAGGATGAAGTATCCACATTATTTGAATTTCTTCTGCATTGGAGATTTGTATTTTCTCCGCCATTTATTGACTTATTTAATCACTTATTTATATCAGTATGCAC